AGTTATATTATGGTATTCTTAAAAGGAGAATATGAGTGATGAGTAATATTTGTATATCTGTTCCCTATTAATTTTAATTGTTTATGCTTAATCTTATAATTAATATAACACCATGGTTTTTCTACACCTCTTTTTAAAATGACTATAGTCACTTTGCTAAAAAGTTTAATCAAACCCCAGTTCTCCAGTCCCATTGAGAATTATATAATAACTGTATTTAATTTAAACTTTATCACAACTTATGCTGATTAACCTTAAAGCTTAAGTGCAGAGAAGCACTATAATTAGAATTCAGAGCACAAATCTATGGGAAAAACTGTTTGTTTATTTTGTCTTTTGCTTTTTCCCCCTAAACTCTGAAGTCAGCTTCATTCACAGATTAATTTATCATCCACTTTCACAAATTATACCCACAAAGTACCTTGCCAATGTTTCCCCTGGGATTTTTGCACCTGAAATCCCATCTGTAAAGCTGTATATTTATATTTTTTCAGATGAGTTTATTGTCTGTAAAAGTCCTATAGAATATGCTAAAAAGCAACTAAAACTGGGTTTAATAAGTTTATACAATCCAAGGTCAGTATAAAAATCAGTTATAATTCTCTATGTTAGCAATGAAGAACTGGAAATTGAAAAATTATAATAGTGACAAAAAATATTAACCACAAAGGATATAATTTTTAAATATGTGCAAAATCTACACCCTAAAAAAAACTACAAGACATTTGCTGAAAGAAACTAGAGAACAACTAAATAAATGGAGAAATATACTGAGATTTATATTGGAAGCTCAAGATTGGCATAGAGATTCATTGCATTCCCAGTCAAAATCCTTATGAGTTTTTGCAAAAAAAAAATTGACAAACTGATTATGTAATTTATATTGAAATCCAAAGGACCTAGATTAACTTTTGGGTAGGCTGACAAGATTGGAGAACTGCCACTATCTAAATTCAAGAATTCCTACAGTAAGCAAAGTGATATAATATTGGCATAAGAATAAACATGAGAATCAATGGGACAGTATAGAGGATCCAGAAATAAATCTAGACCAATATGGCAAATAGTTAATAAATAAAAATGTTAAGGTAGATAGAGAAAAGATAACATTTCAACAATGGTGCTGAAATAATTTGGTATCTACATGCAAAAGTAAATATAAATCACTTCACAAATTAAAATATTTCAAAATGTACCAGCAAAATAATAAAACTTCTCAAAGGAAGAATAGAACAAAATTTTTGTGACTTTGAATTAGATAAAGATGTCTGAGGATGCAAAAAGCATGAATCAAAAAAGAAATAAAGTAATAAATTGGGTTTCATAGATTCCAAACTTTTCTGCTTTTTAAAAAGCCTTGTTAAGATAATAAAAAGGCAAGCCACAACCAGAAGAAGATATTTTTAAATCATCTAGCTGATAAAGTATTTCTATTCAGAATATATGAAATGTTTGTAATTTAACAAAAAGATAGCAAACAGTCAGATCTTTTAATGGGCAAAATCTTTGAGCAGACACTTGACCAAAGAAGGAAGAGATGTAGATAACAAATATGTGAGAGGTGTTCAACACCATTGGTCAGTAGAATGAGATATCACTATGCACTTAACAGAATGGCTAAAGTTTAAAAGTAAGATAAGCATGTGTAAATATGTAACAATGAACCCACTATTGTGTATGATTGTAATGTATCAATAAAAGTTAGTTTAAAACTTTTTAAAAAATAAATAAAAAATAAGACAATGTCAAAAAATAAAAATAACATTTTAAAAAACAAAGATGCAGAGCAACTGGAACTCTTGTACACTGTTAGTGGGAATGGAAAACGGTCTGATCACTCTGGAAAATTTAGGCATTTCTTCAAAAGCTAAACCCACTATGTGGTCCAACCATTTTATTCTTAGGTATTTATATAATAGAAATTAAAACATACACAGATTATACTCAAATTCTCAAAACAGCTGCAATACACACACACACACACACACAAAAAAAAAAAAAAACAACCCAAAACTAGAAACAAATCAATGTCTAACAATGAGTAAATGTGATAAACAAATTGTGATATATCCATATGGTGGGCTTATATTAAAGAATCAAAAGGACCAGACATGCAAAAATTTGGATAAGTCCCATTAATACTATGATCAGTACAATAAATGAGACACAAAAGACTTAAGCTATATGATTCCATTTATATGCAATTCTAGCAAAGGCAAAACCAACTCTGGTGCCCTTTACAAAAAAGGAAAGCAAACACTATGCAACTCCTAGAAGAAAACATAGGGTCAACACTTGAGCTTTTAGTCACCGGCAATGACTTTCTCAATAGACCCCGAAAGCTCAGGAAATAATGTCAAGAGTTAATGGATGGGAGGGCATCAAATTAAAAAGCTTCTGCACAGCAAAGGAAACAATTAGGAATACAAAGACAGAACCTAAGGAATGGGAGAAAACCTTTGCTAGCTCCTCTTCTTACAGAAGATTAATATATAGAAAATATAAAAAGTTCAAAAAAAATTTACAACAAAAAATCACATGACTCAATTATTAAATGGGAAAATGAATTAAACAGACATTCCTCAAAAATAGAAATACAAAAAATGGCCAATAAATACATGAAAAAATGTCCAACATCATTGGCAACTAGGGGAATGCAAATTAAAACTATACTGAGATTTTATCTCACACCAGTCAGAACAGTACTCATCAAGAATACAAATAATAGTAAATGCTGGACAGGATGTGAAAAAAAAGGGATCATTTTTACACTGCTGGTGGGACTGTAAATTAGTACAACCACTATGGAAATTGGTATGGAGGGGGTAGGGTTATGATTCAGCAGCAGAGTGCTCACCTAGCACATGCAAGGCCCTGAGTTCAATTCTCAGCACCACAGAAAAATAAATAAGCAAAATGAAGGTATTATGTTCAACTACAACTAAAAAATAAATATTTTAAAAATTAGCATAGAGGTGCCTCAAAAGATCAGGCATGAAAGCACCCGATAAAATAGCTATACCACTCCTGAGTATTTATCCTGAAGAATCAAAGTCATCTTACTACAATGATACATGCATACTCATGTTTATAAAAGTAAATTCACAGCAGCCACGCTTTGGAACCAACTTAGGTGCCCTTCAACAGATGAATAAATAAAGAAAAATGTGGTAGATATACACAATGGAAAATTACTCAGCTACAAAGAAGAATGGGATTATGGCATTTGCTGGTAAATGGACGGAACTGTAGAATATTATGCTAAGTGAAATAAATAAGTCAGTCCCCCAAAAATCAAAGTTAGAATGTTCTCTCTGATATGTGAATGCTAACCCATAACAAGGGAGGGTAGGGAAGGGAAACATAGAAGTTCATTGGATTAGACAAAGGGGAACGAAAGGAAGAGAAGCGGGTGGGAATCGAAAGACAGTAGAGTAAAATCAGACATAATTTTCTGTGCTCACATATGAATACATGACCAGTGTGACTCTACATCATGTTCAACCACAAGAATGGGATCAAAATTGTAATGAGTTGCACCCCATGTATGTATAATATGTCAAAAATAGAGCCTATTGTCATACATATATTGTCACATATATTAAGAAATGAATGGAACTAGAGGCCATCTTGTTAAGCCAAATAAGTCAAACTCAGAAGGTCTAGGGTTGTATCTTCTCTCTCAAAAGCAGAAGTTAGAGAGGAAAAAGGAAAAGAAATGGAGATGGATCTCCTAAAAATCAAAGGGAAATTAGTAGCAGTAAGGAGTAGAAGGTTGGGTGGGGAAGTGCTGAGGAGTGATATTAGCCAAACTATATTGTTATATTGTGTGCATGTAAAAATATGTAACAATAAATCCATTATGTACAGCTACAAAGCACCAATTAAAACTGTGTGGGGGGGGGGGAGGAAATCAAGCACACAATTACAACAGTATCAATTAATATCTTTTTTCTCTTTTGAAGTTACTCATGAGGAACTATAACAGGTGATCCCTGAAATTTCAGTTTTTTAGCACAAAAAATTCATTTCTTCTTTGCACAAATTCCAATGCAACTAAACAATAGTTTTCCTCTACCCTGCAACTCAGAAATGCATCTCTTCATCTTGGATGTTGCCATTGCAAGATGTGGTTTCCAAGATTTCTGGAACAGGAAAGCAACAAAGGAAGTAGGCCAGCTCTTGACTGCTGTGGCCCAGATATCATACGTCAATCACTTTCATTCATGTTCCATCAGTCAGCCCTAGTCACCTGGTCCTAACTGAACACCAAGGAAGGTTGGGAATGGAGGGGGGAAAAATGCAATGGGTAAGTACTCAATATGCCACATACCTTTTACCGGTTTCAGATATGGCTAAAGGGTGAAGGAAGTTTGAAACCTGAGGCAAGAAATAAGTGCTCTATACTACTCAACAGGAAGGGAGGGAGGGTGGATAACAGTGCATTAAAGACAAATTATTTCAAAATTTTTCTTAGGTGGCCCCATATACATGATGGACCTCTTCTTGGATCAGATATAACCATCTCTTTGCTAAGTTTCCTCATCTGCAATATAGTAACAACTCATCATTCTACTAACATATTTGAGCAAAGATAATAATAGTACCACAGCAATAAGATTGTCCTAAACCTCACCATAGAATGATATATGCAGTCTGAAAATTCTGTCATATCAAATTTGGTATCATTATTGTAAGATTAAGGAGTTGATCAGGATAAGCCTGCTGTTGAGGAGAGAACTTAATTACCATAGTCAAATTTGTGTTATCACAGGATTCTTTACCATAAAGATTCTCTGTATGTAAATGAAATTATTATTATCATTAATTTATGAGGAAAAAAAGCTACTCTATGAAAGAACATTTTCTAATGTTATATCTTTGGATACACATAGGACAAACTATGGGTTGTGTCATAATACAATTGTATCTTCAGGTAATTCAATCCAAGTAATTAACTCTCATTTATCTTAGTGTTTCAATTCAAAAAGAAACATTGAGTGCTAGCTTCTGAAGCACATATGCTAAAATTGAAATAATACAGAGGAGGTTAGCCTGGCCCCTGTGCAAAAATGACACACAAATTCATGAAGCTTTCCATATTTTTGTGGTATTGTGTGCATGTTTGAATATGTAACAATGAATCCCACCATTATGTATGACTATAGTGCACCAATTAAAAATATGGATAAAACAAAAAAGAAACATTTATTATGCACTTACTAAAGACCAAGCACCTTGTTAAAATGTTCATTTGTTATCTCATTTAGGTTAACAACTTTTTCAGTTATACATCTCTTTCTTGCTCTGAACTTTTTTAAAACTGACATAAGTAAAGCTCAAAGAAACTACTTGCCAGTGGCTGAGAAATAAAAGATTTAAAAGGTCTTTTTTGACATCTGCACTACTTCTGGTACACCTGTAACCTCAGCTGAATAACACAAAGGTCTTTTTCCTTTAGTAAACTCTTTTGACTTTATTATTGTGCTCTCGATTTTTACTAAACATATCCATATCTGTTATTGGGGCAGGTATTCAGAGTAATGTAAATTCTTCATAAAAGTGATTAATTTATGCCAGTTTTCCAGAGGAAGAAAGAAAGACTTGAAGAATTCAAACATATTTTTTTTTCACTACCAAGATTTGGACCCAATCTGTATGATTCAACTCCATTTCATGGTACCTAGAGCTTTTCTATTTGTAGAAGAGAAAGTCCATGATTGTTACAATTACCATTAAGTATGTGATAGAATTATCTCTGGAATAAGTTAGATTTTATAATAACGCAATTAACTAAAATGACTAGCAGTCTCATGCAGAAAACTCCATGACATTCAAACCCCACAAAATATGTTGGAATAAGATACAAATAAAACACTATAAACCAGAGGAAAATTATTCTTAATCAATTATTAAAATATTCACATAATTATTATCACAAAAGTATATTAATAGATGAATGTTAGCAGAATATTTTATTAGCATTCATCAAATGTTCCTAAAACATGTAAGGTTGTAAGTGTTTTTACAAAAGAATATCAGCCAGAGATGAGGTCATCCACTATCAATTGACTTCTCTTCATGTCAGTCTGACCTGACCTGAGCTATAATTTCTGATGAAGGAGTCAGAATCACACCTAGTCATTTAGATACTTGGCAATCCTTCCCAGTCGCTAAGGAAAATCAAAGCCGTAGGACAGACATTGGGAGGAATGCCTCAGAGAAATTCAATGAAGGCTTATTAGAGGTGCCCAAGGAGGCAGTTCCAGAAATTCCATGCAGCAGGACTTAGGGGCAAATGGGTTCCTGATCTGTTTTGTTGGAGTTTGCCTACACTTCACATTTGATTTGGAAAGGGTCAACTGTCCACATCAGAGGAAGAGTAGAATGGGGGATCAAGACTTGGGGAGATTATAAAAGGAGCAGGGTGAGTTTTTGAACAAGGGAATAATTCTCTTGAACCTGAGACCAGAGATCTTTGCCCCCACCAGGTTTTGTGACACCCCAGAATGGCAGCAAATGAATCCATGCCCTCTGTGAGCATCCATTGGAGCTGTGGAAAACTTGTGCCTGAGAACCATAAGCAGCAGAGCAGAAACTGAAGAACTAACCATGAAGAACAGACACAATCAAGGATAACTCAGCAGATGCCGTTGTGGCATCTGGATCCACAGCAGATTCACATCCTCATCCTTCTCTTCCCCCTCATCTGGATACTATCACACTACCTGGAACCTAAAAACACTTTGGAAGAAAGAGGGATTTTGCCTAAATTGATAGAAAGGTTTTGCCATGCACATGAGGATCATCACAGACATTTTTAAAATATGAGTTTAAAAAAATGATTCCAGTTTTTATGCATATTTGAGGTTGCAGGATAATTTTTGCTTCTCTACACCTGTGTTATCCTGACAGTCTATCAGCTGATAACAAGTTGGTGTGCCTGGGTTCCCACTATAATTGCATTTCCATGAATAGGGTGGAGGGCTCACCTATTCCTTTGCCATACCTTTAAGTTCAACTCATCATTTCATTAGTCCCACAACAGGTGACTGGTTTGCATTATTGTTTTAAGAGCTCATCCTAAGTCTTACCTCCCGTCTCAGCCTCAAGCACTTGCCCCTGTCCCGCCTTCACTCACCATCATCCCCATCTAATCCCAAACTATTGATCTCTGACTCTGCCCTCAGTCCCACCTTTGGCACTGTGGACTTGAATGTTTACACACAGTCTCTCAGGGTGTGACCTTTGACGTTTTCTTGTGGAATTGACTTGTCTTGTATTCCCCATTCTCAGGGTCTTATTCTGCCCTGGGTACAAAATTCCCTACTCCAAGTTCAGCTCCACTGAATGCAAGTTCTCATCCTGGCAGTTTATCAAATGCCTAGTCTGACCAATTCTAGTATCATTACAAATGGTGAATTTGGACAGACAAAATAAAGGGAAAAGTTCTTTGAAGAGTTTTTAAAGGCTTTCCATGAGTGGTTACCATTTCTCTAGTGAACATCCAACACCTAAAAACATCATGTGGCCTAATCCTTCTTTCTGCCACCCCCAAATCCACAGTCATCTAATGTGTTCCTCCCCTGTTTACAATCAAGTCTCTATTGATCTCAAAAACCCTTAAAATCGTTTTAGATTTGGATATTTTATGAACAACAGCATTTGGTAGAATGGTCACGTTGTCAAAAGGAGTTCAAATATCATCTCCACAACGTACATGTTACGGGCCACAGTTGCTTCACCCAGAAGGTGGAGACTATGAGGTATTTCTCACAAGGTTGCTCTGAGGATTTGCACATGAAGAATACCTAGCTCGGCGCCTGTTATATAGTAGGCACTAATATTAGTTTTTCTCTACTTCTGCCTTCCTTTACTTGGTCTTAGTGGTTGAATTACTTGGGTTAGAAGGTCTTATTCTGGAACACCCTATTTTGGAGAGAACAGAGCTGGATGGATCACTTTACTGGGCATAATATAGAGGCACCCACATCTCAATTCTTCATCACACACTTTTTATTAATTCAATACTCTCTATCTGTAATGTTACCTCCTGGATTACTAACTAGAATGTCACGGAATGAAAACTGCAAAGCCTGGATTCCAAATAGGCCCACCAGAGGCTCCAAATGTGGGATAATTACTTGGAATATAAACATTTCTTTAAAAATATCCCTATTTTTAACTCAGATTTAGACGAGCTATTACATAATTAGAGCATGACTTCTCATTTCTCCTTCCAAAATGACTCTTCATCCCACATCTAATAGGCTGCTGGGTCACTGTCATACCCAAAGAGTAAGAGAGAGTAGGATGCTAATGTTCTTTCAGGAGCAAGTTAACTCTGTACCTACTGAAAGGTGATTTTTCATATTCATGAGTCAAAAAATGTGATAAGTGGAGAAAGGTTGAGGCTGGCTCCTGAGCCAAATGAGATAAAGAGGCAGCCATACCGTTCCTGAAGATTCAAAGTGAGGTCTTCTTTGCAGTTTCTCCAGTTAGGGGTCAGGAGGTCAATCCCTCCTCCATCTCTTGGGGCTAGAGTGTTTGCCCTTAGCACACATGAAGAATCACCTTGAGGTGTTTATTAGCACATTCTTATCACCTTCTGCAGCTGCTTGCTACTTAAGAAGCAGAAACCCCCACAGATTAGGAGAAGCAAGACTATCATGGTGAAGGAATTTGAGATGGTTACCTGTGAAAATTGAAGTTACCTCCACACTTCTCTCGGTTAAAGCAAGAGAAAACTCTGAAATAATTCCTTGCTATTCTTGTTCTCAAAGTGTGCCCAACTTACATTTTCTTTTTGTTTGATTGTTTAAAAATAAAATAATTCCCAACTTTTGAGAATAGAAAGAATCTGGAATATAATGCCTGAATCTGGTCATGTAAGAAATATCTCAGTGAGATGTGCCTTTAATAACACACTAATTGTAACTAAGTGTGACCTATTGAAAAGTTCCCATAGCTGTGTCTTGAAAGGCTGAAATAACCTAAATTACAGAGTGATAGAGGTCCCTATTGAGTGTGGAAAATTTATGGTGTTTATACAGGGAGAGACATTAGCCAACCACAATTCATGCTAAGGAGGATTTTGAACAAAGTCCAGATGGTGTTTCAGCAGTAAAATGTAGTTATCCTGGGACTATCTGGTGAACAACAAAATCATTGAAGTCAAGCTCATTGTCTTTTGTAGGAATCAAGTTCAACAGAAGCAGAACCAGAAGCAATGGAAAACAGTCATATAGTTTAATATTTTTTACATTAGAAATGACACTGTTTATTCTATCACCTAATTTTTATTTAATGTACAAATCATATATTTACTGCAATAAAGGAAAGGAAAAGGGGAAATGTCACATTCCCATTATCCTAATATGGATAATTAAAAGCATACATAATTCAACACAACTAAAATCAAAGCATATCTTCAATTTACTTTCTATTTTTTTAACTTAACTAAATATTAAATAATCATTCAATAATCTCATTTTGGGAAGGCTTCATAATGTTCTGTCTAATTTACCTACCATAATATATTATTTGAGTCCCCTCTAAGCTTTTTAGATAGGATGCTTACAGTTTTTTAATTCTTATATATAAAAATACAAAGAATATATCAGGCAAACAGTTCTATCCCCTTATGATTTTTTTTCCTTAGTCACCCTAATCTTTTGAAATGTGGCAATACAACTCCAATATGTCCTCCCTGTGACAAATTATTTGTTTTATGTTTCGCCACATCTGTGCTAATATCTCCATCTTAAAATTTTCCATTTCATAAAGCCGTCTCCAAATTCTATTGAGCTCAGATGACTGCTCACAGTAAGTTCCATTTTACTTGGCTCCAATCAATTACAGGAATATAGATGATTTACAATCCAAATCATTTGAGCTCATACATTTCACATAGGGTAAAACAGAGTTGACAACCTCACTTGAAAATGTTAAAAGGGTAGTCCATGTTTTCATGTACTAGTAAGTGATTTCTCAGTTAAATCTGAATGAATTTGAATATGTAATAGAGCCCAAATAGCCCACAAGTCTGGATTTTGTGGAATGCACAGCATGGGATCATTTCTATACTGAGATTAAGCATTTCATTAA